CCAGAGCAATGCCAACAGAGGAGAACAAACAGATCGTATCTCACGACAGGGAAGGAATCCAAAGGACATCTGTTAAAACAAACAAGAGCATAGCTAAACAGCCACAGTTCCCAATATAACCCGAAGGCATGAGATTATAGAACAACATCCACACTTCATTCCGTAAAATATATTTTAATTGCATTGAAAACCGTGTGATAACAGCAGCAAAATATTTGTCTATCCAGTGAAATCAGATGTAGTACAAGAACCAGGCAGATCTGTAGCTATAAATGGACTTATGGAATTCATCTTTAAGTTTGGTAGGTTTAACAGAAGGTTCACATTTAGATGTTTTCCCGCCATGATACTTCAGTTTTCCATCAAGTTTACGCCATTGATAGTGATAGCATAATGTCATATAAACTTTTCCCCCAAAGCGGATGCGTTTTACTTTAAAACCGGGTATCTCTTCCTGTCAGACCCATGAAATTCCTGCTGAATTGCTGTGTAGTCCAAATAAAATGTACCTGGGGTCTATCTCAGATGGAGATACCCAAGCTCCTTTCAGAAAATCGTGTCGGGTGTGATCATCACATTGACTTTTAATGAGCTCTAAATGCCACAACCTCGTTCCAACAGGATTTTCTGTAGGATTGGACACAAAATTGGATTTGGTGTTTTCTGGCCTTAAACCTTATTGTCCCTTATCAAAAACCACCAGTGAAGCCACATATTGTTGAGGGTTAATGTTTACATAATAAAGGATATTAACGGGGGAAAACAGAAAAAAAAAACTATGGCAAATCTACTAACAGCACAAATAAAGCTGCTCTTCACATTTTTTAGGCACATGCACTTTCGCTCCTTCACTCATTTTCTGCAAGGATCATCAGTTCATGGTTGAAGACCAGGGAAAGTGGTGTGCTGGACTCACTTTCAACATTTCAGCAGTAAGTTCTTCAGATCACACAGCCAAGCTCTTAACTGTAGCTGATGAGCTGCCATCGGTGTAGAAAAACTATGTGATGAAAGAATAGCTCACTGTGACTTTTAAACACCCCCTCCTCAGGTTCAATTTTAGAGCTGCGCCTCACATCTTTTGGGGCATCAGATTGTTGCAGACTGGTGGGACTTCAAAGCGTAATCACAGAAAAAAAAAGACTAATTAACTCACTTCTAATATATGCTCACAGTAATGCTCCAACATTTAGATGAAAACTAAGATTGTTGATATTTCCTTATAGCTATGACCTTGTTGTCTTACAATCTTAAATGGTACACACTAATAGGAATTAGAGGATGCCAGAATAAAACACTGTTGACGCTCATTAGGCTGGAGAAGATGACAAAACCATCCCTAATTAGTATGCTAGGGTGAGACACACTGCGCATACGATGGAGGAAACTGCTCATTCTGAGGCTGCAGGAACTGAAAGTTGTGTTTGTGCTGAAAAGACTTGTTTTGTTAGAAAAAGCAGAGTTCTACAAGAAAAACATAACATATTTCTGTTGCACTTTCCTTTTTTTAATGTTATAGTTAAAACCAGGTCACAACAAACTCATCTAGAAGCGAACAAAGTCAGTACTAGATTAAAAAACCTCATTAGCATAAAAATTATGTATCTTCTCAAGAATCAGGCAGTACTTAAACAGAATAGCAAGCAAGAATCTTTGGGGTCTTCATGGCAAATAATCCTTATTAAACTTCCCATCCAATCAAAAGAAAACAACGAAACTTTCTAACCACAGAGTTAAAGTCAAACATTAATGCAAGGTAAATAGTCAACTAAAACACCATTGGGCCGAGGGAGGGTGGCGCAGACTGAAGCTTTTATTCAATCCACGAAGGAGGCAGTGTGCATGAAGGTGTGACAGCAAACCTACAAACCAACAAGAAAGGAAAAAAGCTCTGTTCTAGTAGGACAGTGCCCAAAAGGTCAGTCGATTTAACCATTATTTATCTACTTATCTTTCTCATATTAGCAATAGTTTGGCATGTTATAAACAAGCAACATTGATCAATAGAGTTCATTTGTCTCTCAGTGGAGAAACTTACTTGTCACATTGGCTCGATGGTCAAAAGGAAGGTGCCAAAAGGAGGAAAAGGCGCACGGGGTATATACACTATATCAATAAAATAGATATTTATAAATATAGTTAAAGTGCTGGGTATTAAATTAGACAGGTTATTGTACAGGGTATTAACATACTGCCAAAGGTTTAGCATCTCATTATAGGGGTGCATTTTTGAAGCCAAACATTGAACTTCACTCCAACTCATGCCAAATATGTTCAGAAGGGTTGAGGTCCGGACTTTTTTGCCGGCTGGTCAAATTCTTCTTTACCAAAGTAAGTAAGTTATGCCTCTGATTTTAGTGAATTAAATGATTAAGTGCTATATCATGTAGCTAAAGATCAGCTCAACTGATTTTCTACCTTTATATTTTTGCTCAGTAAAAACAACTTGCTCTTTACCATAAAAACTCTCTGGATAAATATTTGCAATTTATTTAAAGAAGCTTCTAAATCAGAGCTGCAGTTTCACAGCGCCTGCTGATATCAACATTAGAGGAACAATATATTCATTCTGTGACCTCCGACATACAGACTGTCAAAGGACAGGAAATTGTCCTACTTAAAAAAATTACCATAATCATAAATGTGTGGGAGTGTGCAAAAACTCTTATCTGAATACAGTGCGGGAAGGCAAGCTGAATGAAAAAGGAAAAATACTTCCACATTTTTATTGGTTTGTTTCACGCTTGAACTGCTAGAATAAATTGTAGAATATAAAATATATTATCTCTAATCCTGTTGTGCAGTGATGTTTGACTCAAATAATGATTTTTTTTTTTTCAGCTCGACAGTCATTTCATTGATTTTAAAGAGGTAAAAAAGAAATACTGGTCAGAAAAAAAAAGACAAAAACCATCCAAAAGTTGTTAGAAAGAAGAACGATCTAAAAAAAAAAAAAACTGTGTTGTACTAAAACAAGGATGTTGATAGTATTCTGGTCATGAAGTGAAGTTAAACCCTGTAATTTGTGTTCTGCAGGGGAGTGCAGATGTCTTTGGCAGCACAGTTGTGTCTGATTGCCCTGATGGAAAAAAAAATGTAGGTTAAAAGGAGAACAAGTGATCCATCCCGATGAGATCTGCAGAAACAGGCTCCTCTCCAGTGGCTTGTAGGTGTTGTGGTGTATCTGAACTGAAAAGAGGAGTTAATGCAGGAGGGAGGTAATTAGTCTTCTTATGTCTGTAATACATCTCTCTTCCCTCAAGCGACGTTTATTGTAATTTTAATCAAAACTGAAATACAGCAAATCATAAAAAATATATAAGTAATACAACCTTGAAATGTCCTAATTATTACTTTTCCATTTGAATTCAGCCACACGTGTGAATAAGTTTAATACCCCTTTTTTAGCAGTATTTAGAAACAATAGGCAATAATTCATAGAAAGAAAAATTTGATTAAAAGAAATAAACAGTTTGTCCAATTAGCCCCTCCCTGCTACCACTAGAGCTAATCATAGTTTTATTAGGTTACCAACTAAACGGTCTGCCAACACCATAATCTGCACACATACAGGATTTGATGCTAATGGTAAAACAATTAAGTAATGGAAAGATTGTCGATAGCATATGGAAAAACAATATAGAAAAGCTGCCATCATATTAACTCTACATATTATTCTTTGTTGGAACACATTCATCAAAAAGGCCATTCATCTCCAGGAAAACAACTCCTTCAAAACAAAAGCAATAGTTATTGGCCCTACAATAACCATCTCTGGCAAAAACATCTACTGATAGTTGATTTACAGTCATTTTTTCATTTTTCATGAGATTTTTTATTTAAACTTTCTAGATACGATTTTCTGATCAATATGTTTTTTTTCCTCTAGTGCTGATTGGAGTCATTTAACATTTGGTAATTACAGGTACAGGATCTGGGTCTTTTCAAATAGAGCTTTTATAGATCGGCTTTTATATTCTGCTGTTGCGTGTGACTCAGGCTATTAAAAATCTGCTGCAATGTTCTGATAACACAACACCTGGAGGAAACACAATCTTTCTTCTTTTATTTTCATCAGAACTGCTGCTGGACCATTTTATAGTTTGCAGTTCATCATATAATAAAAAAGGCCCTTCATGTCATAGAAAATCCATTTTGATACAGTTACCAATTAACCAATAAATGATCAACGAGATTAGATAACCTTAGATTAACTAATTAAGCTGTATTCTGTTTACTTCTACTTTCTTTTTTAAAAGTTTTTATCCTATTTCTGTGTATTTTGTCTGCTCATTGGGACGGAATAATTTCCCCGCAGGGGTCAGTAAAGTTTTCTTGATCTTAAATATTTCAAATAACAAGGTATGCAACGAAATGCTGAATTAAGTTTTTTTTATATATAACTACATCTGTGTGTTACCATAAGTGGCTGATGTGTAGGTAGTCCTCATATGTGGGGAGTTGTCCCATATTGTCTCTGAAAGTTGTTGTATGTTTAATTTTGCCAAAAAACAAAACAAACAAAACAAAAAGTATTCTGACTTCTTTACTTGTTTAATTTGGAACAATTATATTTGTGAGTGAGGCTTGAGTTAAAATTTGTATTACATTTTTAGCCGTTGCAAAGCATGGATGTGTATAAGGTTATGAACACATAAAACTCATCATCTGAACCAACCAGTGATCTTTTCAAAATTTCAGGCATGCCAGATTTATTTGCACAAATTAAAATTAAAAAGAGTTTTTGTATTTATTATAATGAACCCTGTTTTTTTCTTCAAAGGCATCAGTTTAGGGATCTTAAATTACTTACATTATGTTGGGTAGTAGTTGTCAGATTTTTCTCTCAGTTTTCTTTGTTTTTGTTTGGTGATTTTCACCTTCCTAGATGCAAAAAAACTTAAAGCAATAAAAAGCACTCAAATTTTATATGCTCCTTTTTTTTTTTTTTTTTTACCAGTATAGGAATTATTATCCGCTTAGCTTTTGATCTTTGAGTTATGAGCACCACAGCAAAATCTTTTATGGTTTAGCTGTTGAGTATACAGACAGACAATACCCTTAGTCTGCGTAATCCTCCACATTTGATCAAGAAAAGTTGGATTATGTCATTACGCTTGCATGGCCTGCACCATGTTAACTGCTGCAGAAGCCCCAGCCACCGCAACGCCTATAAATCCGATCAGAGACGAGCCAATGAAACTGAACCGTATTGCACGTTGGTTGGACCAAAGTTGCTTAGATTTGAAAAATAATGGATGAAGCTGAGTTTCAGGCTAAAACCTGTGCATGTGAGGGTTATAATCCCAACTTTAATCTAGATTAAATCCACATCTGGCATGTCTCTATGTTTCCCTACAGCCTCTTTGTCCTCTCAGGAAAAAATAAAATACTTTAGATCAATGTGAAGACGGGACCTGGACCAAACTGAGCAGGAAAGGACTTGTTAGTCAAAGACTGGAACTTATTTCTGGTGCAGTACATGGCATAGATACCTTTCTTTGACCCTTAGATTTGTGAAGAAATTTGCATCTTTGCAGCATTAGTTAACCTGGTACACAGAAACCAGTGGATGATGTAAGAAGAGGATTTTGACTGAAGTCACTGAGTGCTTATCTGAGTGTCTGGCGGCAACAGATGTTTCGGGTCGTCTTCTCTTTCAGCTGCAGGAATCTGATTGTGCATCCACGGTGAGCCAAGAAGATTAGAGCGTCGTACCCTGAAAAACCAAAAAAAAATTCCATACCAGAAAATGGATTTCTCCCACATTACAAGGAGAGCTTTTATTGGAGCATTAAAGTACATTTCATGGTTCTTAGCGCTCACTCTCACTCACTCACCCACCCTCATGGTCTTAAACAAATACTTCCTTTTCATCTCCATCCCTTTATTCCCTAATTATAAAATTACAGTAGGGATCATCCTGCAGTACAGGGCTGTGAAAATCTACTTACCCCCTTACAGACATTTTTGCTTTTCCATTTTCAACACTCTTACTGGTTTCAGAGCTTGAAACAAATTTGGATATATCAAGAAGAGCAAATCTTTCAAAAGGGGATTTCATTTTTTATCAAAAAGGGCATGATTACTGTCAGACCTGTAGAATCATGGCATCTATTAAATAGAACTTGTTTGACAACATGAAGTAGGCAAGAAAACAACACAGAGAACAATTGCTCATAGATGGAGAAAACATCAACACACTGAGCACTCCCAGTAGCGACCAGCAAATAAAAATTACTCCAGGACAAACCTTTAAGGTCAAAGGTCAGGATTCAACGGGAAGGAAAAACAGGCAGAGTAAAACATAGCTGCATGGAAGAACAGAGAGGTAATGCACACATTTATGAAAAACACTTTGATGACCTTAAAGTTTTTGGGAAAGTATTTTGTGGACTAAGCAGACAAAGTCAGGCCTTTGTGGAGAGTGTGTATCCAGGTAGTTCTACACCATTGTGTATCCAGAAGTGTAAAAATACCACATTATTAATAAAAAAAAAAGAACATCAACATCTGAACCAATCATGATGCTTGACCATATTCACCTGGAGTCAAACATTGTGGTGGTGGGCTTATGATCTGGGACTATTTATATGGTCCCAGTCAGTCTGTGACCTTAAGGTGACCTTGGTTTCTACACCAAAACAAAGTACCTGAAGCACAATAGCCCTGCCTTTGAATTGCTAGCCCTGTTCCAAACCAAAAGGTTGGAGCTCACTACTAACGGTTTGGATCTAAATCTGATTGACAGGCTGTGGTACAATGGTAAAAAAACCATTCATGGTAGAAGTTCTTACATTCTGGCTGAATCCATACAATGAGCAGAGTGGGCTGAATGTGATACACATTTCCCTAAGGTGGTAACTGTCACTAAAGACACATGCTTTAAAGCAGTTATTGGGGGTGGGGGGGACTTAAGCTAGTAATGATTTTTTAAAGCAGTTGATAAGAACTTGTGCCCAATTAGAATTTATCCGTAGATAAAAGTTTTTCTTTTTAAATGCAAAATACTTTACTACTGTACTGTATATGCTGTACAGTTTTGCTCTAACGTTTAGTTTGAGATAGTTGTTCTCCCAGCAAATGACATGTTTTATAGTCTGTATAATCCAATTTAGAATTACTAAATGAGTAGATTTTTTATTTTTAAACAATGAATTACAATCAATGTGATGATTTGTTTTAGCCTATATCTAAACATATAGGCCAGGGGGGTCTGAATATCTTTACGCACTTAAAAAAAAAACGGTTATTCTGTTTTTAACTCAGGTTCTCTTTGATACTGAACGTTTATTTTACAACTAAAAAAATTTCAAGTTTGACAAAACAGCAAAAACAGAACAAATCTGTCAGGGGGTAAACATCTTCTCACAGCAGTTCAAGTAAGAGTCACAGTAGAACCATCACTTATTCATCGGGTCATAGTTTTAAAAATGTGAGAACGATGGATATACATTACATATGGGTTACAATGCATTGATTAATTCTTTTCAGAACATGGCTTGAAGCTTTTCATATATAAACTAGGAGGTGCATTTATTTGCATTCATGGCAGAAAGGTTAAGTATGTTTTAGATCATACTTTAGGCAACATATTGAATAGAAATGAAAATATAACAAAGGTTGCAGTCAGTCTTAAGCATTTTCACAGTGAAAGGAGAAGCGACTTTGGATTTAATATTTCAAGTTTATGGAAGCAGCCTGTTTCTAATATTGCTGCAGATGCCTTCTAGTCAGAAACAGAGAACCATTCAGGTTAAAGGGTGCTTAGTCCTCCAGCTTATCTTCATTTTCCTTGTCTATGCATTGAAAAGAAAAACAAAATACAAAAAAAAGATTTTTTTGTATCCAAAATAATGCAGGTGCCATTAATGGGCAGTTAGGCTTTTGGGGTATTAGTCCCTTAGTAGTACTCATATTCTAAGCGGCACAAAGATTAGTGAACTTGTTTTAATGAAAGTTCAGCACCCAGCATGAATCTTTAAAAAGCTGCTGCTGGAAGACTGTGGTTATTAGTTCCTGTAGTTTCACCACCATTACCGAGCAGAGCCAGAGACTCAACTGACTGATTCTTATTTTCCTCCTGATGTTCTGATTGAGGTGATTCCTCCTTCTTGTCTTCACCTCCTACCTCCTGCACGCCTGTGGCAGCAGCAGCTGCAGCAGCGGCTTCACACTCCTCCTTAAACAAACGGTCATGCTCCATCTTGAGCTCCTGGTAGGAGCGGGAGAACATATGGAAGATGGAGGTAGCTGGAAAAGCCATGATAAGAATCCCGCTCAGGATGCTGCTCAGCGCAACAACCTGCCCTGGAATGGACCTCGGCACCATGTCACCGTAACCTACGGTTGTCATGGAAATGATCGCCCACCAGTAAGAGGCGGGAATGCTGCTGAAATCATGGGTGCCTGTAAGCTCACTTTCCGCAAGGTGGACGAGAGGAGAGAAAAGGGTGACAGCTACGCAGAGGAAAAGAAGAAGGAGGCCAAACTCCCGGGTGCTGCGCCTGACCGTCAGCCCCAGCACCTGTAAGCCGAGGGAGTGGCGAGCTAGCCGCATCACGTACAGAATCCTCAGTGCCCGCAGGATCCTCAGCACCAGACCCAGTTTGTCCAAGTAGCCCTTACCTCCACCAGGCCTCTCATGCTCAGAGCTCTGATCCTCTTCTGTCACCACAAGTGAAACGTAGTAGGGCAGGATGGCCATGGCATCGATGATATTGAGCGGACCTCGGAGAAAATCGAGCTTGCTGGGGGCCTGAATGAAGCGTAGGATGAACTCCAGGGAGAACCAGGCCACACACACCGTCTCTATGATGAACATGTTGTAGCATTTGGAGGAACACTCACCCTGAGGTATGAAAAAAGAAATGCATTCAGAAGAAGGGGGGCAGGGAGATTGAAGATGAAAGGAGTGGAGAATTGACAGAGAAGAAGACAGATGGGGAGGGAAACACATGAAGATGGAGGGGGGAGATAAAATCCTGAGGTCAGATAATCATCCACACTAATCATTAATAAATCATGAGCTAGTCACTCGGTATGCTAGAGCTACTACCTCTGCACTGATAGATAACACACTGACAAAATCCATCATTTATTTAATTGAGAAGACTTCAAAGATTAATGCAACAGTGCGTTAAAGCTGCGGCAAAACCCAATCAAACTCACCCTCTAAGTGTAATCAAGGAAAAGCAATGAAATAATAATGAAAGATATTTTAAGCCTTAGGATGTCTCTGCAACATCTGGTTTGAATCATCACACCACCAGAAGCCAATGGGAATACATGATGCCAACGCATTTAGCAGAAAATGCTTCAGGCACATCATAGATACCATGCTGCTGACTTTCTTTCCTTTTTTTCCTTTTTTGCAGTGTTTTCCTACAGCATCTATCCTGCACAAATCCAGATGCTGTGAAACTGAAAAAACTGAGACTTATGTACCATGGGACAGATGCCTAAGACAGAAAGGAGGCTGATGACATCACTCACACTGTAATTAGTTAGGTTATTTACTATACGACTACTTAGGGGATCTCACAAAGCAGTGAGATTTCAATCCCAAAACAGCCTTTACAATGTTGGGAACATTAATTTTAATGTTAATGTTAAGACAGACAAATTTATTTGTCATTTTTTTTTACACAAGTTTAAAACAATTTAGTTTTGAACAGCTCTCTGGACAATTTCATCTTTTTGTAAAAGTAAAACAAAATATATATATATAAACAGTAATATAAACATATGACTTTTAATTTACAGTTCTAGCATTTTCATAATTTTTTTTATAATGATAAAATATAATAAATATAATAAAATTCAATAAAATAACCCCTTTTACAAAATATTCAGCAGTCTAATGGCAGTCTAATAGTAACAAATTGCTTCTGTTCTTTATTATAGAACAATCACAGTAACTAGTTTCTCGGCAATGTTACTATGCAGTTGTACTGTATTAATAATTTAAAATACTTGCGATTTTTAAACGACTTCCCTTTTACTTAAATTCAAACCCAACTGGATTCAATTAATAAATTCAAAAAGTATAATATTACTTGAGTTATTAATAAATTAAACTAATTAATATCTGAAAACACTGTATACCAAGCTATAGAATTTTAGCCTGCACTGAAACAAACTAAACTGAAAAAACAAAACAAAAACAACATTTCAAGCCATATAGCAGGAATAATATTGAATTTGAATGAATATCGAACAGGTCATGCTATTCCAGAAAGCAACAGCTAGACTGTACTTCCAGTTATTTTGCTTTACAAAGTAATCAATAACAGCATAACAGAGATTCTTCACCACATATAACACCATAAGTGATGCCAGTATATAACATTGAAGAACCAATCTTCATGTGGCACTGTGATAATGAGAAGTGCATCAAAAATAGCAGTCCCACCCAATTTTATTTTTATGCTTAAAGTCAACTTCTTTTTGAAAACTACTGTTACCCCACAATCTTTAACTGTAATATAAACTCCCGAGGACATAATGAGGCAAGGTGCAGACCAAGCACAACGTGCACCTGTAGCTTGTTGTTTATCTTCTGTTACTGTTGGTGCAGTTATGAATATCTTGCACAGAAGATGGGTTTTCCCATCATTTCCTGCAGTGTATCATTCAATATATTGGTAAACCAAGGCAGGCAGTTGTAAGTCAGTGTTGAGGGTGAGACCATGTCTAACTCTTTTTTTAACCAACATAAATACAGCTTATATAGATAGTTCATATCAGTGGCAAGACAATTTAATGTGCTGTAGATGAGAAAAATAAGGACACTGAGGACACTGCAGTGGCTAAGAGGTGACAACATCAATTAAACAGAATAATAATTAATAATTGAAATAAGATGATTGTGTTAAAATGTTAAAAGATTACTAAAAAAGAGAAAATTAAACTTAAGTAATAATTAGATAGGACAGTCAAAGGCCATCCTAAGTACATAAGTTAGCAATAAGGTAAACTTTTTCTTCCCAAACATGATGAAAAAAATCACAAATCATCATAAATACATATTCAGTCAAGCAGATAAATGCCATAACCGCCACTTAAAATGTGTAAACATTTCTAGGTATACACATCTTAATTCTTACTAGTATAATTTTGTTTTTGTAACTTTCTGAAATTATATTTCTGCTGCAAAAACGCAATAAAAAATATATTATTACAGTTAGTTTAGGAGTGTGATTTTGTTCAGGAAGAATCTTATTTTAGTGAACAAGAGGGAGGAGAGAGCTTTGAATAAATGTAAAAATGGTCTGCCATAGACGGCTACATATAAACTTAGGCGATAACTTGAGCAACAATATTCTTCTTCGCCATCTTCGTCTCCTTTGAATCTGAGCTTCTTTAAACCTGCTTCGTCAAACGGACCCCTGCTCTCCACCAAGCATGTTCTTGCGAGTTTGATAAAAGAAAATAAAAATCTTTCTACATGACTTTATTGTTGTTATTTATCTTTTTTTTTTAAAGAAGATTTAATTTCTTTATTCATGTCTTCTCCTTGCTTTTTCTTCTTGATTGCACACAAGTCACTGTACACAATCTACATTTGTCTTTTGGCACTGTGCCTCAGTTTCTTCTCAACACGCTCCCTCTCTATCCCTTATTATGCAGTATTTCCACCTTATTTCCACCTTCTCATCACTCACTCTGTTTCCTCTTCCAATGCCCTCTCCGGACATCCCCCTACCCCCCTTAATCCTTCATTGTCTCCCGCTGCTCTCTTTCCGCATTAAATCCATCACACCTTCAGTGAACAAATCTTTCCACACAGTTGATTCATGCAGGTACATGCATCCTTCACACACTCCTGTTTACATTCATCCCTTCTGTCCTTTCTGCCTCATCCATGGATCATCACTGCAATGTCACTCTGAGGCAATTGCTTTATTCCTGCAGAGCAACGCATAGCTGGTTAAAACACAAGCTGACATTAGTGTGAGCTTTCATTCTTCAACAATTTTATCAGGTTACATATCATCTAAAAACAATTTAGGGTTTAAAATTGCACGTCCTTAGGATTTACCCATTTGTACTGACATTTGGTGAGGGATCTTTGCATTTAGTGCATGCAAGATAGCATTGTCTTCACTTCTGTCCATTTGTACTTTGCTAATGTATTGACTCTATTGGATAAATTTGTAACAGAAAAATTCATCTTAGATTTTGGTACAGATTAACATTATTGCATCACTCAGTAGCTGCAGATCAGAACATCCATGATGTTATGTGGAAGCTCCTGGCCAGTCTCCACTGACCTCAGACCATTCTCTGTAAACCTGAGAGACAGTTGCGTGTGAAAAAAATCCCAGCAGATTCTGAAATATTTAGACCAGTCTGTCTGTCTGTCTGGCACCAACAACAATGTTAAGCTCAGATACAGCTAAATCCCATTTCTTCCACATTCGACTCTCCTGCTAGAATTTCGTCATGATATTTTTGCAGCATCTTAATACCAAGAGGCATTTGGTTACTTTATAATGATGGCTGATTGAATATTTTAACAAACAATTGAAGAAGACAATTTAAGTAAGACTTCCCATTTTAATATTTGTTTCAGAAATAAAGGGTTTTTAAATTTAGAATTAAGAAATAATTACTTGTGGGTTGCATTAAAAATTTATCACATTGAGTGATCAGAATAATTCGGATTAACTAGAACAAACTATTGGAAAAAGCAGACATATATCAATATTTAAAATTTTAAATTATTTCTGTAGTAAAATGGAATCAGTACTGTGGTCAGTTTTCCTGCCTTTCCCGCCTACTTAACCTGCCTAGAGATTGAAAAAGGGACCCATAATGGTGATCTCTGAGCCCCTTTGATTTCTCCAGAGGACCAAATTTGTCTCTTTACCAAAGGGAGGTTAGAAAACAAGATGAGAGATTCAGTGGTTTAAAAGTCTTCCTCCCATGAGTCATTGCTTCAATAAATCATACCATAATATTAACCTTTACACCTCTTCTCCTCAATCTTACCTGAATTGCTCATGTTTTCCCCTCTTCTCAGACTCCTGCCAGGCTGTTCTATATTAATCTTTGAGACGTTCCCTCCCTGTGGTATATATGTTAGGCCTGCCACGTTTCCACCACTCATTTATTTCCATCCTCAGATCTTTATGTTCTCCCCTTCTGCTGACATTAGGTACCATAAGAGCGTCCTGACCCTTACTGACCTGCAGAATAAGGCCATTTGTTACAGCTGGAAGAATTTCCCCTCTGACTTTCCCCTTTTTGAGAAGTCGCACACAATGCCTTCCCAGAAAACGAACACCATTACGACCTTAACTCCTCCACACAACCATCAGAGGACATATAGTCAGTGATATCACAGCTTCCTAAGATGGGGTTTCATATTATAGTTTGCATTACAGTCTCTCAATGTCAACTAGAACAAAGACAACAGGGGGTGAGGTTGGGAGGGTTGGGTAATTGAGAAGGACGTGAGGTTTACACATGGTAAGCTGATGTAATCATTACATTTATTTACTTTAATGGCAGAGTTTTCATTTAAATCTATTAATGCATATTATGTAAAGATAACTTGCAAATGTGAAATATGAAAAACATTTTTCATATTTCACAGTGAGAAAACCTTGACCTCAAACTTTTCAAGAATTTTAAAGAATTTCTGAGCTTTTCTCCATGCAAAGATAATAAATCAACCAAGCGTCCTTGGTTTATTAAACTGCTTCCATTTAAATGAAATGATGTACCAAGAGAAAACACATACATATCCACAGCTGATGAGGGACCAGGTGTAAGTAAATGAATATGTGGTTTAAATGAACAGAGAATTATCAGGAAAAAATAGATCCTAATAGCTGGGAAAAG